CCCCCGCCGATGGGGATGTCGCGGAGGGTGCCGCCGTGGGTCCAGTAGCGGCGGCAGGACTTGCAGAAATGGCGGGGCTGAGAGAAGTTGTAGTTGTTGTAGTAGCAGAACTTGGTGTTGGTGGAGTCGCAGCGAGGGCAGGGAATCTGCTCCTGCTCCGGCGGACCTAATCCTGCTCCGCCGTGGGGTTTGGTCATCGTCCGCCGCGTCTCGCCGGTGTCTGATGGCATCTCGGAGACAACGATTCGTAGGGAAATCTCAAGAATAAGGGGAATTTGGCGGTGAAAGGCTGGAACTTTGGCCTCTGGGTTTGTTGCTTTTATGGAGACGAGACAGGGAGAGAGAGAGAGAGAAACATGCGCAGATAGATATGGGGAGAAGTGGAAGAGAAGCAAGACAGTCTTTTTGACAGGTTTTGTTGGGTTGATTCGAGGCCTCCCTCTCTCTCTAGATTTTTTTTTTTGTGTTGTGTTTGTTGTCTTAAGTCGGCTACGGATTATCGTGAACAGTAAAGCTCCCTGAATTCGCCTAAGACGAGTCGGCTCTCTCTCATCGTGTAGAGTGGAGCTACGTAGGTGGTGGCTCGCCTTTCAAGAATTCAGTTGAATAATGAACTACGATTATTCCGTATATTGTTTATTTAACACGTCTGTAATTACAATTTCCCCCCGTCTTTCCTTATTATTCAAAGGATGTGATGATAATTCGCCATTTTGTATGCATGCAACCTCTGATCTTTTGTTTATACATTCTAAACAATCCTTCCATTAGATATGTGGATTTGTTAGCTTTCATAATATATTATATATGACATGTGAAGTTTTACACGATTTTGTTACGAACGGAATGGTGCTTTGGATCTTGATTTAATCCTTAGATTGAGAGGGCTTGAAGCTTCTTTAAACTTTCAAGCGGCAATTATGCAATTCCTTCTAATAGTATATATACGAATGCACACATTAAAATGTATATATTTGTACAAGGGAAAAATACATAAAACAAATATAAATAAAACTAAAGACAAAAAATAAGGCTATAGAGTCTAAAAAGAGGCGAGGGAGTAGGCGACGTCGGAAGCTATCGATCTTATCAAGGTACGGCAGCAGTTCCCAATAATTCAACCATGATATCGTCAAGGCTCTAATCGTAATTTTGTTTGTATTAGACTTAATGTAATAATATTAAATACGGACACAATTAATTATAAAGAATATATATATATATATATATATATATATATATATATATATATAATATTATCCGGGTTATAATCGTTTTCCATAATTTATAAGTGACATGCATGCATGGGACAATCTTTTTCCAAGATAAAGACAGCATATCATAATATTGTAACAAGAGACAATTTTTTGGACCAGAGCAATCTATCTAACTCAGATCTGCCGACAGAATATTTGTTTTTTTTTCCCTTATTTTTATGAGATGTTATTTGACAAAAGAAGATTTGCTTGGAAACAAAGTGACACGTTTTTCCTTAGTTGTTATCTTTTTAAAAATAAAATAAAATAAATCGGTGTATGCAATTGCGAAGCTTTCATGAAGATTTTTTAATCCGCGAAATATTAAATTTGTTGTAATGCAACGGTTGAACCGTAATGATTCGATAAAATGTGAATTGGTATAGATTAATGAGACGAGAAGGGGAAAGTCAGTTCAATGTTTTAAGTCTTCTCTATACAAAGTTGTGGGTTTGATTCCTTCTAAGTCTGAGTTCCTTTTTTGAGTCGATCAGTTTCGACTGATTTATCTATTCCACGTGGTTTGTCGGTTATTGCATGGAGTCGTAGGTTTACTGTTTGAGATATCGTCCGACCCATAAAATCGGTCGATATTCGTCCCAAAAAAGTGTGGGATGGATTTTTCACCGTTACCAAAAAAATGAGTAAAAACTATAATCGTATAGTATACGCACCATATACACACACAAAAAGGGAATAATGATGAGGAAGCGGACAAGGGAGAGTGGTACGGAGGGAGGGAATGTGAAAGTGATGGGAGTCCGCAATCACAGGGGAGCGAGTGAGTCCAAACTATTCAATCTCCACGCTTCTCCGACCACTTCCATCATCTTGTCTCCACCTCTCTCTCTCTCTCTCTCTCTCTCTCTCCC